AAAAGCTTCTGTACTGCAAAACAAACCATCAACAGAACTAAGACAACCTACAATGTGTGAAAAACTTTTTACCAGCTGTTCCTCAGATAGAGGACTACTATCGAGAATACATAAAGAACTCAAAACAATCAGCCCCCCTAAATATAAAGACCCAATTAAAAAATGGGCATCTGAAATGAACAGACATTTCTCAGACAAAGAAGTAAAAGCAGTAAGTAAATATATGAAAAAATGTTCCACATCACTGGTCATTCGAGAGATGCAGATGAAAACAACACTGAGATTCCACCTCATCCCAGAAAGAATGGCTGCTATCAAGAAATCAACCAATAACAAATGTTGGCGGGGTTGTGGGGAGAAAGGAACCCTTCTCCATTGTTGGTGGGAGTGCAGACTGGTGCAACCACTGTGGAAATCATTATGGAAATGCCTCAAAGAGCTGGAACTGGAGAGGTTCCATTTGACCCAGCCATCCCTCTGCTGGGTATCTTTCCAAAAGAAGTGAAAGAATCATACCACAGTGATATATGTGCGCCAATGTTTACAGCAGCACAGTTTGTAACAGCTAAAACTTGGAAGCAGCCCATTTGCCCATCAGTTGGAAACTGGATAAAGAAGTTGTGGTTTTTCTATAAAATGGAATACTACTCAGCTATAAAGAATGAGAAATTATATTCATTCATAGGAAAATGGATACATATTGAGGATATACTCCTAAGTGAAAAAAGTAAGTCACACATGTATAAATACCGAATAGTTTCTCTGGTGTGAAAAACTATAATAGTATATAAGATCCTAATGAATATAATTGACCATGTGGAATAGGAAGAAAAGGGCTAAAGGTGTAGGGGAAATGGGAAGAGTAGGGGAAAGGTAACATGGGAAAAGAAAGAAATATGAGAAAATGAAAAAAATGGAAATAAAGTGTTTGTAAATGGGGAGGAGAGGAAGGGGTGAAGGGAGGGCATGGACAAGGGGAAAAAGTGAGAACCAAGACCTGTCACGTAAAGGTACAAGATCCCAATAATGAACGTAATTGTACTGTATACCTACAATGTACCAATAAACTCAATAAAAGAAAAATAAAATTGTAACCATGGTCACACAATCCTGCAAACATAGGAAGAGCCGCTGAGCTGTGTACTTTAAATAGGCGAATTGTGTGGCCTAAGAAATATATCTCAGGGGCCGGGGTATAGCTCAGTGGCACCAAGCCTGACTCACAAGAGCAAGGTTCTGAGTTCAATCCCTGCTACCAGAAAACAAAAAACAAAAAACAAAAAAATTACATTTCGAAAAATATAATCGGTGGCATAGCTCTCGAATTTCTTCATGGCACATGTTCACTTTGTGGACATAGCAATGATGTAGAAATATGTGTAGATGTCTGATCAATCAAATATGTGTAAAATATGGATACCTAGGTGAACGCATATATATGCATGTCTTTGTATACAAACCATATACGAGTACATACGGACAGAAGGATTCACAGACACAGGACTCCACCTGGGTTGAACACTTAGAAGTTTTCACATCATAATGGCATTTGATTACGTCTTTGGTCCTTCCTTTATGCTAGCATCAGCCCACAGGAAAGGAAATAGTATTTCCAACTGAGAGATGAGGCAGGCAACGGAGAGCTGGAGCGTGGCCATCAGCGCAGAGCCCGCTAAGGTAGTGTCTGAACATAAAGCAGGGTTGTTTTTATTTGTCTGTTTGGCTCTGTTACAATCCATGTATGAAGTATCCCCCACACTTGTGTCCAAAACTTGATCCCCTGTGCAGCAGTGTTGAGAGGTGGAGTCCGGAGAGGTGACTGGATGAGGGGGCACTGACCTCATCAGTGGGGTAAGCCACGGATGGGTTCAAGCTTCCTGGGCTTCTGTGGAGGTGGGACCCCGGGAAAGAACACAGGCCACTGAGTATATATCTTTATATATACGTTTAAGGGTATATCTTGACACGACTTCCTTCCTCTCCGTCTGTGGCTCTTTCTCTCTGGTTCCTGGCTGCTGCTGCCACAAAGCAAGCACCTTTCCTTCCACCACACCTTTGTGCCCTGGTGTTTCTCCCTGGCTGCAGGCTTAAGAGCGACGGAGTGAGCTAGCCATGCACCCCAGTCTGAAACTGTGAGACAAAACAGAGCTTTCTGCCTCCAAGTTGTGTATGTCATGGATTTTGTCCTAGTGATGAAATGCAGACTGTGCAGACCCTTCGTGAACCACCTCCTTCTGGCAGCCCTCCAGTGGTGGCCGTCTGAACCCCCAGACACCCTACTGTGTGACCCGCAAGAAAAATACTGCGCGTTACCTTGAAACTCGGGCATTCCGACAGGGACAGAAAGGCCCACAAAATAAAAATGTAGCCCCTTCTTCCCAGAGGCTTCCGCTCTCCTAACTCTGTAATTACAACCTAATCACAAACACTCTGAGGGAAAGGGTCAGTTCCATGCAGCAGCAGGCTAATTATGTGGCTGAATTTCTAAAAATTATCATCTTATAAATTGTGTTATTCCTCTAAAGGGGGAAGAAAACACAAACCACATATCTGACTATGTTTCAAAGTGGATTAATTAGTAATTTGAAGTCTAATTATCAACTAAACTATCGGAACATGCAAGGCTTTTGTATTTGGAAGGTCTGTGCAATTTGCATCCTATTAGCTGACAGTTGTAAGGATTTGAGAACTGGTTAGGTCAGAAGAAGAAAAATGCAGATCAGAAGGATGGAGCCACCCAAGGGGCTGACTCCGGAATAATGTGACTTAGGGGTCACTGGGTAACAGATGGAGGCTGAAGTGTGATCACCTGGGGTCTTCAGTGGCTCTGAGGCCAGGGATGTGTGATTTCCATCTAAGCCCCAAAGAGGTAATTATGTATCCCTCTCTCCTTGTTCTGTGTCTTCCTGGGAAGTGGGCACCCGCTGGTCTCCTAAGACCCGTCCTGCAATAGTGGGAAAGGCAGTAGAGGCCGCTGCTAACCCCGGATGTTGGGCTCAGCTCCCCTGCTTCCTGGCTGTGTGTCCCTGGCTAAGTCCCGCCCCCTTGCCTGTTCTGTTTACCTATAAGCAGATGAGGGTTGGATGATGTTGCCTTCCAAAGTGCCTGCTAGCACCAAAGACGTGGGGTTTGAGGAATGTCAAGGGCTTTCCTCACTCCTTAGTAAAAAAAAAAAATAATTTTTCCAAGTAATCTTTTGGAGGTGAGATCTTTGGCTCTGCAAAAGACTCTGAAGAGCTAGTGCTCATTTAAAATGCAAATATGTCTGAGTAAGATTATGTATTTCAGCCATTAACATCTGGGTCTAAATTAACCTATCCTGATTAACCCTTCTTATTTGCAGTCTTGACCCTGAAATACGTAAGCAGCCAAAGCAAGGAAGATTTGAAGGGAAGAGAAGAGTAAGGAAAGAGCCAGTCTAAGGCTAAGAGCAGGCCAGAAGGAAGGGCAGAATTTAAGTATTAGGCAGGATGCTTGAGTTCCACTTTTAGATCCATGTACTTGTGCTTTAATTTGACTAATGACTTTTTCTCCAAAATAAGTACCAAATAGCAGTCTTTTGTTCAATTAATAACATTGCTCATAGAAATAGCACCAAACAACATGGCTAAAACCAAACACGGTTATATGCTCAGTTCAATGAAGTTAAAACCAGAAATTTATTGTAGATGAAAAGTGAAGAGTCTCATCTTAATGGAAACATGGAAAATTAAAAAGACAGACCCGAGTGATAAACACTGTAGAAAAAGCTACCCTTCTGGTAAATTGACCCATGGCAAAATTTGTTATGAATTAAACTTTGGTGAAAGCTGTAGCCACTTTGGAAGATAACTTGCGTTCCTCCAAATGTTGGATGTTCAGCGCATGACAGGAATTCCACTGCTAGGTGTAGTCTCAAGCCAGCGCCGTGATGAATTCTGGCCACCAAGTGAGAGCAACCCAATGTCTGTCAGCTGCTTGATAAGCAAGCAAAATGTGGCCTAGCTGTACAACGGAACATTATTTGGCAACACAACAGGGAAACACAGAGCTAGAATGCAGATCAATGGCTCCCTAGGGCTGTGGAGGCTTGGAGGGTAATAGGCAATGACTACAAAAAATTTCAGAACAAGATTGGGTGATGGTTTCATAACTTTGAGACTATATCCAAGACCACTGAGTTGTATACTCCAAGGGGGTGGTTGTATGGTATGTGAATTACATCTCAATGAAGCCTCTCAAAGAGGAATAAGTATAACATAAAATTACATCTGATTTTAGGAAGATGAGCTAGAAGAATCAAACTTCGGTATAAAAAATAGATGTGCAATCCATGACAAGGCAAAAATAGACTTGATAGAAATCACAACAGGAAATTCATAACGGCACGTTTGGGCTGCTAGGTAAAACAATATGCATAAAAGACGATTGGATGAACAGGCTCCTCTCCGTGATGTGGAAAATAATCGCACTTCATAAAAAGAACAGCCATACGTTAAAATGAAAACAACTTTTTAAAAGGCTTGTCTATGCTGGATATATAGAACAATGAATAAAAATGAAATTGACGTAATATTACACATGCTGGTAGAGTGTTCCTGGCTAAAGACATCCCATTATTAGTACAGTTGTGATTTGAATGTTTGTGTTTATGGATAGCAAAGCTGTCGCTGAGTTTGAAATACAAGGCCGGAAACAGGGATCGTGGTATCTTGCATCCACACAAAGATGCAGCGATTTGGTCTTTCTTGCCCTGGGGTGCAGCTGAATAGAGAGGGAACTGTGAAGGCTGATGAAGCCCTGGCCCCCAGCGTGCTGTCTCCTAGGATGATTCATGATCCGTGCATTGTGGTTTGAAAGTGGGATATGGAAGGGGAAGCATGAACGACACTACTAAGACTTAGTATTGCAGCTCTGGATTTCTGTCTCCACCCACAGAGTGCACACGAGGCAGGGTCCCCCGGAACAGAGGTAGGAGCCCAAGTATGGAGAGGGCTGATCACTTGTAATGCCGTACTCACCAGGTTGGCAAGGATGTAGTGGTAGCCAATGCCGTTCTTCTCCAGCTTTATAATCTACAAAACACAGTGGGAGGGGACTCATCAGTAATGCGAACAGTGAAAGCGACCACCACAACAGCAATAATAAGTCAATAAGTTAACTGGTGTTGAGGGTTATACTGTGCTCTTCCCTCGCCCAAGTATACAGACTACAATTTTCCAACCACGCATGGGCGGTGCCATTGTCAGGTATCTGTATTCTGCAGAATCAGCATGGTCACAGTGAGGTTAAGGAAGCCCCTCAAAGTTGCCTGGGAATTAAGTGGCAAACGCCTGATCTGCGACCCCTTTTGTCTGATTTCAGGGGTAGAGTGATGCTGTTGGGACCCCGAGAATCCAGCTGAATGCTCGCTGAACTCTTTTCATAAGCCTCCCATGCTCCTGGAGACTCTTCCCGAGGTGAAGCAGGAATCCTCTGGGGCGTGGAACCCCCTGCCAAAGTCATCCTAGTGTTTGCTGCTAGGATGGTCGCACGGGTAAGTAGAGGATGATGTCACCCATGGTCTTAACTTTCAACTCCATGCGTGAGCCACATACAGATGTTACTGGTCCCCCCCCCCGAATTTTGTGCTTTTCTGCAAAGCCAGTTTGGTTGGTACCCCAACATGAATAGATCATTCAACTTGGAAGCTGGAAGGGAATGTTAGGATCATCTTGTCCAGCCCCTCCCTAGACAGCTGGAAAGCTGCAGAGCAAAGAAGGGAATGGTTCGCTCAGGCTTCACAGTGGTCTGGCAGCAGCGTCAGGACAGGGGCCTGACTGAAACTTCGTATGATGCCTGATTAGTGTTAAGCATTAAGAGCCTGGATCCCCCAAATACCTTTCCATTTTGCATGCAGACTGTCTTTAGCCATTGCATGAGGGAAAACTGTTTTTGCAAAGAACTACACAGAGGTTTGCTTGGGAAGCCAGACAAACCATGCAGCAAGAAATAATAATGATGGCAAACCTTGTTTCCGTAGCTGTGGCCTGGAGACTAACTTGATCTATTTCTTTCTCTCACTTTTTTTTAAACATCAAATTGGGGTTAGTATACCTTGCTTGGTACCTCTCTCCCTGCACTGTTGCAAGGAGATGTAAAACACACGAGAAGCCCTCGGGCTTCTTTCTTAACTGAATAAATTTTCAAGGTTATTAAAATCCACATTCAGACATCTACTTAATTGGATGTATGGGTATACCAGCTCCCGTATTTTTTTTTAATGTGGGGAATATTTAAATGCAAGCACACACAGTGAGTGCTCTGAACCAGTGGCTAGACTGTGGAATTCCAGGCCATGCAGCTCAAATACTATTGGAATGATAGTTTTATTAATAATTCTTCATTACTTTTTCATCTTCTTGTCAAATGGTTTGCTGCCTTTTCAACAATGAGATGCCTTTATCAAAAACCCATTTAGCTTCTAACGTACACAAAATGGCAAGTAAACAATTTTTCAAACCCCACCACATTCAGGCCACAGAGAAATGTGTTTCCTGTAAGATGAGAGTACAGGTTGAAACATGGAAAAAAGTCATTAAACTTCTGCCTTTTAACTGATAAATAAATACCAATTTTGTGTCATTCAGCCTAATACCAACCTTCACCTCCATCCACTCACCTATCTATCCATTGGCTTATGTTTCCTCCTCTGCCAACTTCATTTTGCAAATATGTACTGAACATTTACTATGTTTGCAGAGCTTTGCTGCCTACAGTGACGAGTGCAGCTACACGGTGCTGCCCACCTGGAGGTTACACTTTATCAAGAGGAGGTCCATAACAGACAAGAAAGTTGATAAATGCACACAGCTTACAAACCAAGAAACGCATTATAAGTGTAATGTGCAGTTTCACGTGGGGATAATCTTGACCCCAGTAAGTCAAATTTCACTTCCTTTGGATTACCTTCATTCACGATTTTTGTGACTCAATGGTCCCCCTATTCTCCCTGATTATCTTTATCCTTTATAGCTAAATTCTATGCTCACCTTCTCTCTAAAACATTCTGTGATTTATTAATCTTCTCAAGAAATGTTTATTGAACTTAGATGATTTACCAGGCACTGTGTCGTGTGCTGGTGACACATCAGTGAAAAGGGAAGCAAGATTCCCGTGATCTCAATGAGCTGCGTTGCCATTTTAGTAGGGAACCAGATGGTAAATGTATGGATAAATGAATAAGCTTTCAGCACCATGAACACAGTAAAACATGGCAGTATGATGGATTGTCCCAAGACGTCTTGCTCTACTCTCACTTTAATTCATTCTGTACTTAGTGACTGTATTGTATAACGTGGAATCTTATATATTGACAGAATGTAACATTCTAACAACCATATTCCTTATTCATCAGCCTCCACTGACTTCCCACTGTCTGCAAAAGAATCCCAAACTCTTTAGACTAGTTCCCAAGAATATTCACGATTGTGTGTTCATCTGTTGATCCCATCTCTACTGGACGCCTAGCATATTCCTCTTGGCTTACTGAGCCACCTTGTGAACCCCAGCTCTTGACCTCTGGCCCCCCAGCTTACAAGCCATCCCTGCAGCTTGCAGTCCCTTATTTAGCCTGAAGATACTGGTAGAAGTTCAGATTTGTCTCACATTTGAGATTTTTTTTCTTAGTCTTCATTGAGTCTTTATTCTTTCAGCTCATTCCAGTACTATCTATTGAATACTTACTTGGATCCATGCACTGTTCAGAGCGCTGTTGACATACTCGGTAAGAAAATAGAACTAAAATCACTCTTTTCATAGAGCTTATATTCTAATTGGGTGTTGGAGATAGAAACATGCAAGTAAACTTCAGGGGAGGGAGCTGCAGACACAGAGACAGAAAAGTTGTATTTTTAAGAGTTTGAACTCTATGGCCAGGGCCGGGTTGATATGACTTTCTGCTTTTCTTGTGTGTTATCACTCAAAACTCAGGTAACATAGTCCTTCTTTTCTTCATATTTAATAGAGAAATCGATCAAACCTGTTTTATAGAGTTGATGTGAGCATAAATGGGATTAGCCTTGGAATATCGGCTGGTGTGGTGTAAATGCTGAAAAACAGTAGCATGAACAATCCAGGGCGAGTTATGACTCTATCAGAAGCACCGCAGTGCCATTTGTCTCATTCTTTATCTGCTGTCTCATCTTATCTTTCTACCAGTTGTGTGGAGCAGGGACCTTCATGCTCTGTTGGCAGGTGAACTCATTTATGCCCTCAGAGTGAAGTGATTCTGGAAGCCAGTGTGGGCAGGCACCGTCAACAGCAAAAATAGGCAGATGTTTACATACATCACGGACTGTGGGCAGGTTCCCCTGCAAGTACTTTATGTGTGCTGATCCTTTAGTCCTCACAGGAGCCTCCTAAAGGTGTTACTCTTGTTATCATTCCCATTTCACGGAGCCAGAGCCTGAGATATAGAAAGATAAAAATCCTAGCCCATGTCACAAATCTTTTAAGTACTCACCTGGGATTTGAACCCCAGCCAGTTTGGTTCCAGAGTCTCTGATCTTAACCACTGTCCCATATACCTCCCTTCAACACTAGAGTTCAAAGCCCTGTTTCCAGCCCAGAAGGCTTCTATCTTAACAGAAATAATTTTTTGCTGGCTTCCTTTTTCAAGAGCAAAAGCCAAATGCATACTTTACACAGCAATACACACAGAGTTAATGCCTTAAAGAATCCACTGACTTTCACAGTCTCCCCCTGTTGTGTGGCTGAGGCTTCTTCTGAGTGATTGCTGAGCTGGTGTAGAGGTCCGCTGTGGGGGCCCCAGGAGGTGTGAGGGCCATTAACAAGCTCTGTCATATTGTCAATTGCCTAAAACACCATCTTTTATTAGATGGCACTGTTAAAAAAGGATTATGTATCTTCTTCCTTGCTAAATTATCTGAACACAAATGCAGTTTTAAAAGGCTAGTGGTCTAAACAAAGGCCCACTACTCTACGCCAAGCACATGCTGTAGGTCTGAGATGGGAGGTGCTACAGTTTAGAGATTGCTGCTAAAAACCAGCCGGAGTACAGTGCCTGTTCGTAGTGCACGCGCAGTGGACTCCTCAGAGGCAAGGAAACAGTAGAAAGGTAGGTGGCTACAGCTTCCCCAGGCTCTTAAAACAGGTCAGTGGGCCAAAGGGATGAGATGCCAAATGCTGCATCAGTGAGCAGCAGAGCCCGGGGCTGCACACAGGAATCTGGTTCTGCAGCTGGTGTTCCTGATGCGAGAGCCCTTCACGAGCTCTAAAGTGCAATGTCAGTTATTTTTTTATCAGTAAAGAGAAACCCTGGAGGTGAGGCGTTGGTCAGGTGGTCTGAGAACCTGTTTGAGCCCCCTATCAAGACTCCTGTTGGTTGTGCTCCTTCGTCAAATGGCAGAGTTAAATTTCATGAATAACAGAATGTGAGCTGGAAGGCATCCAGCTTCATCGAAGGATCCTCTTCATGACCCTCTCATAACCACCATGGCAAAAATGTGCCACCCTGCCCCAAATTACCTCCCGCACCCACCCTGAGCCCTTCTTGGCCTTTGCTACCTGGCCCAAGATGGCGTTGAGGCGTTCTGATTCACAGTCCACCACCACCAGCCGCTCCTTTTTCTTCTCCAGGTCCTGAAAGAGCATCCGGTATCCTTCCTCCGTGGTTGTCAAAATGTTGACTGCCGTCACTTGCCAGTTCTTTTCTGCAGCTGTGTCCAGGACTTTCTGCAGGACGGACAAACCTGGTGGCCAGATGAGGACAGACAGATGGCAGACCGTTAGCACCCGAAGGTACTGACCCCTTCCACCAGCACCCACTCCGTCTATCCCAGCCTTGTTCCCCCACCCACCTTGGCTAGAGCTTTCTCTCACTGTGCAAGTCTGAACTTCCTCAGTGCAGGCCCTGGGCTTTCACTGCGCTTCTGTTCCCAGGGTGTGGCAAACAGAAGAACGAGGTGTCTCAGCCTAATGTGAAGGTCAAATTTACCTTCTGGCCAAACTACTTTGATAGGTACATTTGTCCTCCAAACTTTAATTTCTTCAGTTGTAAAGTGGTAGTGTAAATAATTTCCACGTCCCTATGTCAGTATGAGGATTAAATGTGAGTGTCTGGTACATGGTGGGGTCTGCCCCTTCTGAGGGTTTTAGCCCATTACTCTGCCCTGCTTTGTTTTATCTTTGAGCCTTAGACATATTAGCTTCTTGTGGCAGCCATTATACATTACCACCATCTTAGTAGTTTAACATGACAGAATTTATTATTGTATACTTTTGGGGGTCAGCCATTTGAGCTAGGTCTTCCTGGATTAAAAGCCAGGTGTTGGCAGGGGCATGTTGCTTTCTGGAGATTCTAGCAGGGAATGAATTTTGTTGCCTTTCCAACTTGCTGAAGCTGCGTGCATCCTTGATTTATGTCCCTTTCATCCTCATAGCCCAAAATGCTTCTCAAACCTTTCGCTCATAATTCTGACCTTGACTCTCTGGCCTCTTTCCTTTGCAGCTAAGGACCTCTGTGATTACATTGTGTCCACCCAAGTAATCTGGGACACTCTTCCTATTTAAAAGTCAGCTAATTAACAACATTAATTTGATGTATAGTCTTCATTCCCCTTTGGCACATAACAAACTCATTTCAGGTTCCAGGGATTAGAAACTGGATACGTTAGGGGAGGGTATCATTCTACCTGCCACGGTTGCCTAACTGGCTTTTGCATTATTAATTTTTATGTTTAGCATTTTCAATTCCCAGTAATACTGCCAATCCCTTCTATAGTGACCAGTGTGGTGTCTGGTCTCAGGAATCCTCTGTAGACTAATCATGTTATGCTTCCTTATTTTATGTCATTTTCAGTGCATATTGTTTGATAGGTCTGAGCCTCACATTCAATACAACTGTACTATATACCTGACACTATTCTGTGGCTTTCCTCTCTTTAATTTGGTCATAGTTACGATTGTCATTCTTATTTTATAGAAGTAGAAATGGCAGCTCAGAGAGATGTCACCCCTAGTTAAAAGTCACACACCTAGCAGATGATAGAGCGCAGAGCTCTGAGGTATCTGATGCCCTTTTGAGAGAGTGGGTTCTTCTAATGATGTCCGTGGGCAAAGTTACATTTTTTTTCTGGCTTTGCTATTTCTAGCCTGAAGCTTTGTTATGCCATAAAGCTGAAAGAGACCATCTCTGGGTGACGCCCACCCCCACTATGATGGCTGCTTTCTGAGAAGGGAAATCATCAAAATAGGGAGAGGGTAGGGAAAATCAAAGAAATGGATGCTTACAGTGTCTCTGATGGCTCCTTCCCCTCTAAAACTAGTGTACAAGGGGAAGGTGGGTCACACAAACAAATGCCATAGGAGCCAGGACAATGAAACCCCAGAGTTCCCATCTAGAGGATCAGGCTGTAGTGAAAGTGGTATTTAACCAGTGCCAAACAGGGGAAGGATTTCTCTAGGTAGGCTTGAGAAAGGAAGCACATTGCATTAAATGAGGATAGCATGAGGCAAGAGATACAGAATGAAAAAAAGTACAGGAAACGTTTGGAAAATGTGTTGTGAAATTAAAGAAGGCAGAGTTATGAAGGAGAGGAATGATGGTGACAATTATGACGGTGATGACAGCGATGATGGTGGTGATGATAGCAGCTAATGAATATCAAGAGTGGTGAGCGTTAACTACAGTGTCAGCACTGAGCATGCCCTTCCTAGACATTATCTCATTTAATCTTCACAATACGTCTGTGAAGTAGAGACTGTTTTTGTCTTCCTTCTAGAGAGGAGGAAATCAAGACCTCGTGGATTTTATCCTCATGACATAGTGGGGAAGCTAAGGGATAAAGAGTTGGCCCAAAGACACAGTTGAAGAGGAGAGAATGTAGGATTCAGATCCAGGCTGTCTATACTGCTAACAACCATGTCACCAGGCAGGACCTGTTTAACTGAGGCCTTTGGACTCAGGAGGGGTAGGAGCTCTGTGAGCTGCAGAGTGACATGGTACATTAAGAGGATTATTCTTTCAAAGGGTCTATTTCTACACTATGCATTAGAGATTAGCTACTAAGGAATCAGTCCTCAGAAACTGAGCGTTTTGGATCATTCCCCCATGCTTTTCAAGGAGGCACTGAGGCTTGATTCTTCTTTTTGGTGATGAATGTGTCTCCATCCTTTAACAGTCTCCACTAGTCCTTGGCTTACCCCGGTCAGCATCATAAATGTAGACAAATTTCTGCCACTTGTAGTGATCAATGATGCTGATGAGGGCATCCTGTAGTTCAGGGCGCAGCTGAAGGACAAACTGGTTGGAAGTGTCTACCGGAAAGCTTGGTGTGATGAAGCATACGTGGAGAGCTCCGCAGAAGGAGGTCAGCATGTTGACAGTCCTTCGTTCGTAAAACCCAAAGATGGCGTAGACTCCTTTGGAGAACTGGGAACAGACTAGAAGAGAAGAAGACAAGGATTAATGGACAGAAGGTGCTGTAACCAAACTGCTAGGTGACTTACAAACACATTCACCCACTAGACTATCATCCAACCTATCGCCCATGTGTTATCAATTCTGTAGTTATCTACCCATCCGACTCCCCAGTTTGTCCATCTGTCCATCCAGCCATCCAGCCATCCACCCTACTCATACATTCGTCTGTCCATATTCCCATCTCTCTATCTAAATTTGAAGTTTATCAGGGCTTGCTACATACCAGATGTCATTATTGAGCGTATTAGTTACAGTAACCAGGTATACAAAACATTTTCACATATTATTTCACTTTGTCTCTGTAATGACCCTGTTCAGAATATGGGTCATTTTTTAAAGGGAAAGCTGAGGATCAGAAAGTTAATGGACTCATTCAAATAGCACAGCCAGGATAAATCTGAGCTAGAAGGTGGTGCCCACTAAAGAACACAATTGATCGCTAGTACCTGAATAGTCTGAGTCACAGCCCTCTCAGTTATTCCCTAGAGATAATAGGGATTCCAACTGAACCACCCAAGTAACTACCCAACTCCCATCGAAACTGGACATTCCATTTATTGTAAGCCTGTCAGCAGCAATCCTTTTTTTTTTCCTTTAATTTTATTGGTACATTTTAGGTATACAGTACAGTTACATTCATCATTGGGATCTTGTACCTTTACATAACGTATCTTTGTTCTTATTTTCTTTCCATCCCCCTGTCCTCCCTTCACCTCCTCCACCCTACCTATCTACTTTGTTTCCATATTTTTCTTTTTCTCCAATTTTTTCTTTTCCCTTCTTCCCTTTCTCCTATCCCTCCCACTTCCCCTACTCCTTTAGCACGTTTCTTCCCATTACAGTATCAATTATACATTTTGGTTCTTATTTATACTTTTATCTTTTCACACCAGAGAAACTATTTGGTATTTACACATGTAGGTGCTATTAATTTCACTTAAAAGTCTGGCCTCCATGTGCATCCACTTTTTAGAGAATGACCCATGTGCAGCCCAAAAGAATGGAAATTGTGATTTTGTGGGGTGGAGCACAAGGCAAAATTTAAAGAGAGAGTGCTAGAGAAAGGTGTCTGATATATGTTTAAGAAGATTTTCCCAGGTTAGCCCTCAGCTCTTGGTGTCAATTTCTCTGCTGACCCTCATCTTGTGTGCATATGTCCTGGTCACTGATTTTCTGGTCTCCCAACGTACCAGCCACAGTTATAACTTGGCCGTGTGAGCATCTCGACAGGATCATTTTGTAGGATCCCAGTGCAGTTGCCTATTCTTGCTTTTTTCATTGATTACATTGCCATTTAGAACATCGTGCTAATAACCAAAGCAAAGCATGGAACCCTAGGCTAGTCAGTTCCTAACCTTCATTTGGCTACCATACAGGAGGGAAAGTTCATGGTGTTTGTCTCAGCAAGGGGACCAGTGCAAAGGCCGTTCCCAATGCCAGAAAATGACGCTTTCCATAGGAATAGTGAGGACAGCGAGTCATCCTCCTCACAGAGAGAGTACTGTAGGGTCTTTGTGGGCCTTTCACTGATATGAGCCTGTTTATTCCTTGTCACATGTGGTACTTGGATATTACCAGGTATTATTTTTTTTAAGATGATAAATGTAGTGCTCTTCAGCCCTTGTTCTCTATGCCGAATGGGCTGCTTTCTGGGCCCATGCAACTTTTGGGTCTCCACAATGTGTCCCATGAAACACAAGTCTCACAGGGTGATCTTTAGAAGCGAGAAGTCTTTTATGATCACTTAAATTTGGGAAATGGTGCAAACCTTGTCCCAGTCTTGGAGTTTCATACTTTGCTCTTACAGCATAAAAGACTGAAGAATTCTGGACAAATTTAATGTGGATTTTGCCTAATGTGCTTGCCCTAGAACACTTTTTGGTTAGTCCTTTTAGCATGGAACTGAAAATCACTTGGGTCCTGCCCACTAAAGAACACAACTGATCACTAGTACTCAAACAGTCTTGAGTTGCAGCTGTCTTAGTTATTCCCTAGAGATAATAGGAATTCCAACTGAACCACCCAAGCAACAGCTTGATCCCCATTGAGACTGGACATTCCATTTACAGTAAGCCTGGCAGTAACCACTACCATCTGCTTGCATACTTCTAGCTGCTGGTCACCGACTACCTTCTCCGGTGCCTGGCCCGCTGACTGAGTGCTCTTTGAAGTCGGAACCTAATGGAATATCTGCTTTATTCCACTCCCTCCTTCCAGTACTTGAAGGTGTACGCACAGCCCTCAACTTCATGGCATTGGTTTTGAGCAATGGGATCCATTCTCTGCTCAGAATCCAGTGATCACCTTAGTGATTAAAACAGAAAACCAAAACAGTGTTTCACTTCCTGAGATGAGGCTTCTTGTGGTTGTGAGATTTCCCATCGTAGGTACACCTGGGCGAATTCTGCACACATCTAACCCTGAACAACTGACCTCTTCCGCCCTGACATTCTTCTCCCTGCTTCTTTCTCCGCCCAAGCTGGCATTCACCGTGACGCTCAGGGGTCCACGCTTGGGCCGCCTGAGAGGTTGTGCGCCGGCTGTTTCCTTGCACCTGTTGTGCAGTGCTGTGCCCTGGTCTATGTGTAAAGGTCTTGCTCCAGCCTCACTTCCTCAGACAGGCCCTTTTTCCTCAGCCCCGTCCGTCTCTGTTCCCGCACCTGTCCTTGCCCCCATGCTTTTATCAGCATCATCCGCAGTGACTCTCTTGGTTTGTGCGCGTATAGCTGTGGCTATCTGTATCGATATAAATTTCCAGAAAACAGGGATTGTGTTTGTGCCCTAAAGCCAGCAGGGTGTCTGGAACATTGCAGATAATAAATGAATATTTGAGAAATAATTGAATGTCACATCTCAATGAGAAGGCCCCGTGATCCACAGTAGGTGATGAAGAGGCGCCGGGGCAACGGGGGGAGTCTGCTGGGTCCCCTGGACCTTGTATAGTTTTGTCCTGTGTAGCCTTCTTCTAAGGTAGCTGTTTCTCTTCCACCACTCACAGTGTTTTCTCTTTCTCCGTGGCAGACACTTTCCATTCACAGCCCATAAAAGGCACTGCTTTTAAATGTCTATTGCAATCACTAGGATCGAGATTTACATAAATATGAATTTCTTTACCCGGAAGCAAGTGTTGTATATTACCCTCCTTATGTTAAATATAGATTTGTCAAAATACACAATCTGTCTTTCAGAGTAAGTTTATATGGAGAGACCATAAACCCTGTTAAAGCATTGTAATATGCTCTCTAAGGTATTTTTGGGAATCTCTTCTTTCCCCTTGCTGAAATGAAATATTATATCATGGGGCATAAATCTCCATGTCTACTCCCTCACGGCACCTTCCTAGCTTCACACTTTCAGCTGGCCCTCTGGAGTCCTCATAGCTGGTGTTTCTTGATAGTATTTTAAAAATGGACAAAGAAAAGCTAGGATGAGGGTGGGAGGGACATGAGCAGACTGATACGATGAAATCCTTAGACACATAGCGTGCCAGAATTTTTCCCTTCTCACATCATCTCCCTGTTTTTTTCCTTCTGGAAATCTTCCTTCTTTTAATGTACCTGTTTCATTCTTTGAGGCTTTTGTCCCCCTATTCCCTAAAAGTACATGGCTTGGAGGTAGTCTGGCCCAGATTTCCTTGCCTCCCAGAGTTGCTGACCATTTGATCTTTGTATCTCCTCATTTCTGCTAAACCCAAGGCATGAGGGAGAGAGAGGGAGAGGGAGGTAGGAAGGGAGGAAGAGATAGAGAGAGAGAGAGAGAGAGAGAGAGAGAGAGAGAGAGCTGATTATGTAGGACTAAGGGTTGTGGGGAAGATAATCAGCAAGCAGTTGTGTTGAGAAATATAATTAGTGGTTGTCAGGAATTTCTTTGAGTCTGTCATAATAAATGCTGAATCAAAAGAGAACATGGTTCTGCAGAAAAAGCACTAGAGTAGGTAACAGAGGGCCTGGAGCATTCTCTTTTTGGCCTAATCATTACAGAGTTACTTGTGTGACCTTCAGCAAACCCCATATTCTCATGGGAGTTTTGTCATCTGTAAGACAGTGCTTGACTTTTGACATTCCTTCAGGCTCCAACATCCTGCATTCTAGTCTAATTGACTGGAAAGAGTTTCCTGATTCTATAATACTTTGTCATTTACTGGTCAAACTTTTAGCAGCTTCCAGTGCATTTTTTCAATGCCAGGAAGTAGATAAAGGACTGGGTTCTTGGATTCTGTCCTAAGAAAAGGCCAGCACTACATGTAGATGCTTTTGGAGTCTTGAGTTTTATTTAAGGTACAATTTTTAACCTGCTGTGCAAGTTAATTATCTAGGAGAGAAAAAATGAGATGAGGAATTGGGGTGGAGGAGGCATTGTCAGGTAGGGTAAAGAGAAGGGGAGAAACAGTGCATTCCAAAGCAGGATCACAACCGGTAATGTCCTGGCCTCATCATACACCAATCCACAGAGGTTGATTCTGAGTAGGCTGGATAGCGTGTGAGATATGGTAGGGAGGAAAGCAGTGGTGTACAGGATAATTTCTGATAGTGATAATTAGGAGCCTACATTTGAGAACTTATTGAATGCCAGACACTTCTGAAGGATGTTTCCCTGCATTAACTCCTTTTGTTCCAAGAAGCAGGTTATCAACTGGGAAAGTGAGACTCAAGACCAGAATAAGGCAAAGTTGAGATCTGAGCTCTGCCACTCTGGCCTCAGAGATTGAGCTTTACATGTGGGTGATACATCAGCTTCTCCAACTACAGGGATGGAGGAAATCTCTTCCGGCACAGGGGCAACCTCAGCTTCTGGGAAATCCTTTCTCTTATAGCACACAGCCTCCTGCTAATGCCAGTTAAGGAAGCCTTACTGCATTGGGGTCCATGGAGATACGAATATAAAAGTCCTTGGTGGTGTTTGATGTCTCCCTCTCTCATCTCTGAGAAAAGACGTCTCTTCTTTTCTTTGCCCATCCATG